GAGGGGCTGCTCAAGAAAATCTACTACGCGCTCTACGACGCCGACGTCATAAACGAATCCGCCTTCGCGATCTGGAAGGCGCGGGAAAGCGCCGTCCTTCTCACTGTTGCACACGGGGGCCACCCACTCACTCCCTGCTCTCCTTGAGCCGTGCATTTGGCTCACTCTCGACCCGTCCGCTCGCTTCTGCTCACCCCGAGCCGTCTGCTCGCTTCTCTCGCAGGACACCGACCCCGACGCGGAGCCGACGCCGAACAAGCTCAAGGCCCTGGTCCAGGCCAACGAGTTTCTCACCTGGCTCGACTCGGCCACCCAGGAGTCGGGGCCGAGCGACGACGACTGAGCGGCTCCGTGCCTGGGCAGGCAGGGACGGGGCCGCTCTCTCGGCAGCGGAGTGGACGCCACACACGCGGCCAGACACGCCAGGCTCAACGGTGCGAGGGCCGAGCTCTGCCCGCGCCAGGCGTCGCGCCGCCCTCAACAGCCAGGGGGCCCGCCCGCCCGCCCTAGCATGAAGCCGCCGTCACAGGTCGATTAAAAAGCGGGGTGCCTCTTGTCGTTTTATTTTACCACAGCAAAGAGATCAGTTTACACGTTCTCGTGCCTTAGCCTACTGCGATTTCTTTTTTCCGAGTCCAGAGTGCAGAGTGACAGAGCTTGGCAACCTTGCTTTCACGACCGTGAAATCAAGTACGTATTGCAAGAACGTGGGCGGAAATGCCCCCAGCCCACACGACCTTGCTGACGACACGCCAGCGCCCCTCGCGTACGTGCGCCTCAGCTCAATCACGGACGTACTTCAGACACTACGTACGTACTGTCAAAACAGGGACGTACATACATGCAAGTACGACCTTAGCCCTCAAATTTTCTCTTCGGCTCGCTCCGCTCGCTTCTGTGCGCAATAGCCGGTCCTCGCGCCGGACGTCGGCGGCTCCTGGCCCTATCCTGGCCCTAATCTACGCAGAGAACCCAGCCGGGGCGGCCGCCGTAGCCCTCGGCCCAAACGTATCCCTGGCCGTTCACCAGCGGCGCGTTCTCGGCCGCGACCTCCTCGGTCATACCTTCGGTGTCGCAGTGGTCGGTCGTGGTCCCACCGTCGGTCGTCATGCCGAGCGCGACGCGCTCCTTGTGAGCCGCGAGCCACGCTGCGATTGATGCGTCCGCGCGCTCATTCGCTTCATCCAGGCGCTTGTTGAAGTCTGCCGCCACCTTCTGCCACTGCCGCTGCCGCTGCGCCCGCAGCCGCTGCACGGTCTCGTCAGTCAGCAGCGTCTTCGACTGGCGGTCCTCGATCATGGCCGCCTGATGCCGCAAGAACCAAGCAGACCTTCGAGGGCCAGATATGGTTGGGCCAAACTGTCGCTCGAAGACACGCGGCAAATGATTGTACGGTCGTGATTTTACGGTCTTGAGAAAAAGAAGCTCCCTTGTGCAAAAAAGAATTATAGTTAAGCGCTCGGAGCACTTGTTAAGATGTACACAAACAGCGCACCCACGGCGCACCCACCCCACCCTCCCACGCCGACCACTGCTTCGTACCAACAGCCGCCCCCTTTTGGCAGACGCCAAAGGACCACATCTTGCCGGGCGCAGAACCCTTGGGCATCGTGGGTGCGATGTAGTCGTCGGTCTTGCAGCGGGAGGCGGCCCACTGCTCTGCAGTGCAGCCTTTCCACTCCGGCCGGGACTGCTTCCACGGCTGGTACGACGGCATTGCCACCTCGGGGCCGGACGCAGCCGCCTGCGGCGGCGCCGGCGCGCCCGCGGGTAGTGCCGCTGTCCGCTGGTCAGAGCCGTCTGCCGCCTCGCCCGCGCCGGCGGCCGCGGGCGCCGCTGCATCGGCGGGCGGAAAGTACGCCTGCATGGTGCAGCGCCGCTGGCGACGGCGAAGGAGGCGGAGCGTGTCTTTGCCACAGCCAATAAGAACGTGCGAGTACGGTCTTGTTTTGGGCAAAACAAGAACGTGATTGCATCACTCGCTAAGGACGTGAAAACAAGGCCTTCCCCAGGGTAAGTACGTACTTATCTCTGAAAATTTTCTTCGCGCGCTTACCCTCTTGCTGCCCGATGCTTTGCTCATGCTTCGGTGTGAATCACGCCCGCTGTGAAAACATTTTGCGGGGGATTTTTTCGCCAGTCAATAGAGCATGAAAATACCTTTCAGACGGTACCTTTCTGTCCTCCAGAGTCGAAGAACTCGACCGGTGCTGGCCGCCAAAGTGGCTGGACGGCGCCGCGGCGCACACTGGTGAGCCGCGGAGCACACTGAGGGAGCTGTCCTCGGCGCAGCCGATCGGCTCCCGCGGCCTGGGTGATGGCAGTGGCACTCTCTGAGGCTCCCTGATTTTTTCTGGTATTTGTTGAGCACTCTCTGGTCACCTTCGCCGGGCGAGCCTGGCTCTCGCTGCACAGCGGCGCGACCCGCGGTGAGGCTGCCGATCGTCGAACTGGGCTTAGCTCTCAGTCAAGATATTGTGCATATGGTCGGTCTCTACAATATCTTGACTGAGCACGACCGATGAATCA